GCACATGCGCCCTGAGACAGACACAGTCCTCCTGAGTGTGCTACTCTGCTACCCTCTGTTACTTTTTGATAAATGCCAGTTCAACCACTAAATTGATTTTACTACTGATTACAGTGGCCCCACCCTTACCACAAGGGATTGTTTCAAAAGGCTATGGAAACCAGGCACTGACCTTACTTACCTGAACATGGTTTTTCCTTTGTGTGTGTGTGTGTGTGTGTGGTATGTGTGCCTATGATTAAATTTAATTTATAGTCTTTTTTGAGTATGCACAGACCCAGGTTCTATTGGTGATGCTAAAGGAAAACAAAGTCCACTTGGTACTCTTTGCTGGGTAGTCAAATTTTCTTGTACAAGAGGAGGAGGTGAAGCTGTTGGTTTCATTTATAAATTAGGTCCAGTAAGAAATAATTAGCCGGATGGTAGTAGCACACACCTTTACTCCTAGCACTTGGGAGGCAGAGGCAAGCAGATCTATGAGTTCGAGGCCAGCCTGTTCTACAGTGTGAATTTCAGGCCATCCAGGGCTACACGGCTAAACCTTTCTCAAAAACAAAACAATAAAAACAGCAATTTATGAAAATGCAGGGCTTAGTGTTGTGGGTGACCATGAAGAGCAAAGACACAGATGGGAGAGATGACCACAGAGGGCAGCGGCTGGGAAATCACCTCTCCCGGGAGGAGGGTGACAGTGTGGATTGCTGCAGCGGCCGCTGGTTCTCTTGCCTGGCTGGCGGGCTGCCTTCAGGAGCCTCCATGCCTGGCATAGGTAGCGTCCCTACTCACTCCTCTTTCTAAACCAGGTCCTTTCCTTCTCCTCTCAGAGCCTCACTGTTCCAGTCCCTGCCGCCTCTTTGCTACTCAGCATTCACTCCCAGCTTCCCAAGGCTTCCAGCTCGGCCTTTAGAGGTTTTCCTGCTCTTGTCTTGACTCAAGCCAGCTTTCTCACTGACGCTGAGGCAGGTGGAAGCTGTAATGCCCTTCAGCCAAACAGGTGAGGCCCCACCTCCCAGGAAAGAAACCATCCAGTACCAGTGGACTTGGGGAGGGGCATGCATGGAGAAGGGGGAAGGGAACTAGAGGGGGGGGATACAAAGTAAATAAATTAATAAAAAAAAAAAAAAAAAAACACTAAAAACAAAAACAAAAACTGCTCCTGGGCTGGAGAGATGGCTCAGAGGTTAAGAGCACTATCTGCTCTTCCAGAGGTCCTGAGTTCAATTCCTAGCACCCACATGGTAGCTCACAACCATCTATAATGGGATCTGATACCGCCTTCTGGCAAGCAGGTGTACATGCAAACATGGCACTCACTCACACAATAAATAAATAAATAAATAAATAAATAAATAAATAAATAAATAAATAAACAAACAAATAAATAAATGTTTTTTAAAAAAACTGCTCCTGTTTCTCCTCAGCTGCTTCCTCTTGGCTGTAGCTTTCACTGATAGCCCTCTAGTCTGTATTTGGAGGTTGGTATTTGGTGTACCAAATTTTCACAGCAGAAGCCAGATTTGGTGGCAAAGGCCTTTAATCTCAGCACAGGAGACTGTGGTAGGCAGGTCTCTGAGTTTGAAGCCATCCAGGGTTGCAGAGTGAGACCCAACTTCAAACAACAACAAGGAGTGCATAATAGGGCTGGAAAGATGGCTCAGTGGTCAAGCATACTTGTTATTCTTGCAGAAGACAGAGGTTCAATTCCCAGCACCCAGTTTCAGGGGATCTGAGGTCCTCTTAGGATCAATGTGGGCACTAGAATATAACACATACATGCAGGCAAAACACTCGTACACGTAAAACAAAATAAAATAAACCTTTAAAAAAGAACATGGACAAGGGCAGAAAAGATGTTTTAGAGGGCAAAGTCCGTTGCTGCCAAGCCTGACAGCCTGAATTCAATCCCTGGGACCCACATGGTGAAAGGACAGACCAGATCCCAACAAGCAGCCTCTGACCTCCACATACATCCCATGGCATGTCACATACACACACACACACACACACACACACACACACACACGTAAAAAAATAAAATGGATAACATATTATCATGATGAGGAAATGGTACTTGTGGTTAGATATGACCCTAGGCCCAGAGCTGACCTTGACTCTGTTTATTTCCCCATGATTCAGCTTGGAACAATACCTATCTGGCAGCTTTGTGAAAAACAGTTTTTACAAATGTTTACTTGTGCCTTGAGCGGAGCAAGCATTCTCCAAATGTTCCCCAACTGCAACCTTATATTTGTTACTTAGTTTACTCTGGAGCAGAGCAGAAAGACAGAGAATCCCCTGGGAGCCAAATGAGAATTCTGACACAATCAATATTTGTTTGGGGTTTTGTTTAATTTGTTTTTTATTTTGTTTCGTTTTTCGAGACAGGGCTTCTCTGTGTAGCCTTGGCTGTCCTGGACTCTTTGTAGACCAGGCTGGCCCCGAACTCACAGAGATTCACCTGCCTCTGCCTCCTGGGTGCTGGGATCACAGGTGTGTGTGCACAGTGCCTGGCTCAATTAATAAATATTAATTTGTTTAAGGTCTTTCTCCTTCCTATTCTATAAACCAATAATTTTCTAGGAATCTTACTAGAAACCCCAGTTACGTCAAAATACATGTCCTGAGCCCCTGGCACAACCCCAGTGGCTCTGGCTTTTATTTTATAGATTACAATCCCTTCTGCGGGACCTCAGGGGTCATTCTTTATCAAAAGAGAGAGAGTGTTAGGGAGTTTCTGAGCAGCACTTTGCTGAGATGTGTAAGTGGAGCTCTGCTAAACCTACTGGCTCCAGCCAAAGCCTCAGCACGTGATCTGGCACACAGAGACTCTCCACCTGGCAATCCACGCTCCCTGCCACTCTTTCCCATTCTTCTGCAAATAACCCCTGCACACGGCTCTCCTTCACTGAATCCACTTCAGTCAGAGCTTTCTCTGCTTCGTGCACTTCTTTGCCTCTCAGTTCCAGGTAGGAATTGATCCTTAGCTGGGCGTCGGTGGTGCACGCCTTTAATCCCAGCTCTTGGGAGGCACAGGCAGAGGGACCTCTGAGTTCCAGAGTCCCCGCACAGCCAGCGCTGCACAGGGAAAAGAATTGTGATACTTGATGTGGTTGTTACTGAGGTCATTTCTGAAACTTAGCATGGCTAAGTTTAGTCGCCAAATGGAGGCAAACAGGCAACAGGCTTTGACCACATACATCAGAGAAGGCCCCGTTTATCTGGAGTCCCGCCCTGAGACTTTGCAGGAAGGCCGTATCCAGCGGCGACTAGTGTGTGCAGCCTTGGCTTCATGAGCAACGCCCTGGAGCACCAGTTCTGCACCACACTCCTCCCTGCAGCCCCGACCGTGGTGACCCTGCTTTCTCCTCCAGCACAGCCATGTCCTGTCCTCTTGGTTTGGGGCGACTCTCCGTAGATATCCTGCCACCCCTGCTTAGTGGGCTAAAAGAAACTTTATCCACTAATTAGCCTAGGTCTAGTCCCAGAAGTTTCTGGCCTCCACACCATCTAACCCAGGCCTAGAACGTTTTCAGCCTCTGAGACTCACTGCTGAAGAAGCTCACCCTCTCTTGTGCTTTCTGAGCTCTGGGCTGGCTGGTTCAGCTCAGCTGTTCTGGCTCACAATCCTCTCCCAGCTGACTGATTCAATCTGGCTTCTCTCTCGGTCTCTGTATTGCTCTGCTTGGCCTCAAACTAACTCTAGCAATCCTTTGTAATCTTCTAGTTCCTCATTCTCTGGCTCATTCGGTGTTCACCTGTGTCTAGCTTGTTTTCTCTTCAACCTCTCTCTGTAAAACTGCCTCCTCTTTCTCATTCTCTGTGCTTGGTCCTTTAATAGCTTCCCTTTCCTCTCTTTTCCTGAGTTGGGTGTATCCTATTCTGTCAAATCTGATTCATCACTTTGTCGCCCCTCAGTTAGACATCCTTCTACAAGCTAACTTTACCATCATAGCTTGGAATTAAAGATATATTCCACCATGCTCGGACCTAAGCTTTTCTTCTTCTGAAACCTTCTCTAGAACAGGCTGGCCTTGAACTCCCTCAGTGCTGGGAGGACAGGCATGTGGCACTTGTGGCAAAGGCCCTCCTCCAAGCCTCACACAGGCTCTCCTATGTCCTCTTGACTAGGCTTCCACTTTGTTCCTGTTCTGTGACCTGCTGAATGTGAGTCCTGTTTGATCATGACCACACTTGAGAACCACGTTAGAGGCCTGGAGTTGCATACTTTTACACCCAGCACCCAGGCTGCTGTGGCAGGCAGATCTTTGTGAGTCTCAGGCCAGCCTGGTCTTTATAACAAGTTCCAGGCCAGCCAAGGCTACATACTGAAACCCTTTTTCAAAAAACAGTGTGAGATAATTTTAGCAGGGATTAACCATTACCCTGTTTTAACAGTTTCCATGCTATGACTCTCCTCATCCTTCTTCTCGGCTATAAATGGTCTATTCTGCATCTGATTTTCAGTTCTATGTAGCTTCTTTAGTGGTTTCTATTGTAATAGCATCAAATAAAATTTTTCTTTCTAACAAGTGTCAGAAAAAAAAAAAAAAAAAGATTTAACCCTTGCCATAGTCTTGGGACAACAACCAAGGACAGGCCAAGCCCTGGCTGCCTTCTAAGTCACATTCCCCTTCTTGCTGATGTACCATCATAGTCCAGGTCCTTCCACTCTTTTTCCTCAGCAGCCCTCAGTGGCCTCAACATACCAGTCAATCTAGGAGAGTCAACTCAGCTATTAAAACAAATCACCTGGTTCATTGGTCACCTCATTTGTTTAGTCAGATAATCAAAACATATGAATAGATTTAAATTGTTTCTCAACATAAATATATATTTTCAAAGAGTTTTTGTATTTGTATCATAGACATAAACAGAATACATACACCTGGGGTATGGACTATCTGCCCTGGGCTCTTTTGACTTAAAAAAAAAAAAAAAAAAAAAAACCATAAAAACACAGGTCTTCTGTGTTCCCGTGTGGCATGGACAAATTCTCTGCCCTTGTTTTGAGCAGCTAGTTTGTCTGAAACTTGGCCTCTTGGGCTCCAGTTATACTTTTGTTCTTAGTAAATGTCTCTTCACCTACAACTCTGATTCTCATGTTTTATTCATCTCCTTTTGACCTCAAGAAAGGTAAAGGTGGCAAAATTCAAAATTTACTTAATTTTGTATTGGTGGCAGGTGTCAAATCCTCCTCTTGAGCCTCTCCCCTCAGGGGGCTGACTGAGTTGCTCGGAGGGAAGTGGCGAGTCAGCCACTCATTGGTTCTCATGGCTTTGCAGTGGAGGCAGGGCCTTTCTCTGATTTGGTAGGACACTGCTTTTCTCCTCTTACCGCTGGCAGGCTGGTGCTCGCTCTCACTCTCCTTCCAGGAAGACGCTCCCGAGTTAGACTCCTCGCTGCCACATTCGGTGGTATCACTGTCCTGCTGGATGGGATTCACCCGGGAGAACTGGGAATGGCGCCTGGCTCGTCTTTGATCAAGGTAGGCACTGACCAAAGCCATTTCGGAGTCAGTTATTGTGGAAAGGGGGTTCTGCTTTGGCTTCTTTGTGGCTCGCAAAGCATCCCAGAATCCATCTTTACTTAGTCGCTTACAGGAAGTTTCTTTGCTTGCTAACCAACAAAACAGATCAACAAGTTAGGCAATAAGGGTAAGAAGAGTCATTAACAGATTGCTATTGAAAGGTTAGTGAGGCTGGGAGGTGCTGGCCCGTGCCTTTAGGAAGGGCAAGGCAGGTGGATCTCTGAGTTCGAGCCTGGCCAGCCTGGTCTACAGAGTGAGTTCGGGGTCAGCTAGAACTACACAGAGAAACCCTGTCTCCAGAACAAACAAAAAGTTAGGTTCTTCAGTCAGACGTGGGGCACACGCCTTTATTTCCAGCCAAGTGAGGCAGAGGCCTACACAAGCAGATCTCTGTGAGCTCAAGGCCAGCTTAGTCTAAAAGCTGAGTTCCAGGCCAGATATGGTGACATGGTGAGACCCTATTTCGAATGAATGAATGAAGACGTCACCTCACCACCCAGGCCAGCTCTGATGTGCAGCCACTATCAGGGCCTGCAGTGGGGCAGTGGAGGAACGCAGGGAAACCAGTTAGTGTACATGCTCTTGTGTGGCCTTGGATGACTGGGTCGACCCAGAGGCTGGCCTCAGACTCACAGAGATCCACCTGCCTCTGCCTCCAGAGTGCCGGGATAAAAGGCGTGCACCACCGCCTGGCTACTGACTGAGACCTGAGTGTTGATTACTGTGGTTCCTGGAAACTGCCAAAACCCTTCAAAATGATAGGGCCAAGGCTAACCATGTCACGTTACCCAAGAAAGGCTGACACGTGTGCGGGATCACTAGCGGTCAAATCACTGCCTTCAAAATCACTGGCTAATGCCCACAAACGACATTTCTAGTGCCGTGCCCATCCCCAAAGACTGGAGGGGTCACACGGGTCCTTGACATCACGTCTGCACTTTTATAAACCCTGAATATGACAGCAAATGGGAAGTTATCCAGAGAAGGAACATCCCCAGGCTGAGCATTCCTCCTTTGTCTGGAAGTCTCAAAGATCCCAGTGTGTGTACAAAAGGGAGAGGCAGAAAGCCCCTCTTCATGCTCTTTTCTATGCTGACGTTGGCTTGTGCCAGCTCAAAAATCCTGATACATTTTTGGAAATTCTGTGAGATGGTTAAGCCATCATTACTAAACAAATTACACAAATTTACAATTAAATCAATCTACCAAAAAAGGTGATAATTACTTAATGCCTGTAATTTTCTAATTATCTTACTATGGTTTATTATGCTGGGTGCTTTCAAAGCTGTTTATCTGGGTTGGGAAGCACTATTTGAGGATGTGCTATTGTACATCTGCCTCCAACTCTGTCCCCTTGACAATATGTTGCAGCTCAAAAGCATCACTGAAATGAACATTTACCTGGAAACCAGCAAAAAAATCATCTCAGGGCGTAGTGTATGGTTTTACCGATTGCCTAGGGCTAAAAAAATGATGTAGAATGTGTTTCTAATGTAGATTTCATTAGCATGCCTGCAGCCTATATTGAGAACCCAAAATCTAAAATATTACTCCAGTGTTCTGAGACTATGATTCACTTCAACGAAGCAGATGCATAGACAAACTTAACACAAGTAGTAGCATATACTTCATTCTTTACAAACTGTGGGACATAGTGATACGTGATAACCACACATACTTGTCTTTTCACAAAGCTCTGTGAAGGACAGTGCTGAGACATGACAAGAGCTCTGCCAGTCATTTGTAGCTTCGGGCGGCTTTGCTGGCTTCTGAGCTGCCTCTGCACAGAGTTTAGGCAAGGGCCTCTGTGGGTGTGGTGATGCCTTAGGGCCTTGCTCTCCGTGCTCAGCGCCCACTTCCAGCCTCAGGGTTTGCTCGAAGGCGCCTGACTCTCACCTTTGCTGCCGGTGGTAGCACTTGTCCCACTGTCCTCGTCCCTTTTGTTCTCCGACATCTGTTTCAGGAACACAGTGAGATCATCTCAGTCAGCTGTGGCATTAGCGCCTACTCAAGCACCACAGCTCAAGGCCTTTCACTGAGGTCTAACTCTGCTTATTGGTTGGTTGGTTGGTTGGTTGGTTGGTTGGTTGGTTGGTTGGTTTTTCAGAGACAGGGTTTCTCTGTGTAGCCCTGGCTAGCCTGTACTCGCTTTGTAGACCAGCCTGGCCTGGAATACACACAGATCTGCCTGCCTCTGCCTCCTGAGTGCTGGGATTACAGGCATGCGCCACCGTGCCTGGCAGGTCAACCGTGTTAAATGAGTGTATGCTGAATTCCTGTCCTGGTGAACCTACTTCCACCTCAGCTCAGAAGACCTTGTCTGACAGCAGAATTTACCCACATGTTTTAACTAGGCAGAGCTGAGCAAAGATGTAGAGAAAATAATACTCATAGGGTGAGAAGGCTTTCCCCACACTTACATTACAAAGAAATTTCATTTAAAAAACAGGGCCTGAGGGCTGGAAAGACGGCTCAGAGGTTAAGGACACTCACTGTTCTTCCAAAGGTCCTGAGTTCAATTCTCAACAACCACATGGTGGCTTATAACCATTTATAGTAAGATATGGTGTGCAGGTAGGATGTTGTATAAATAATAAATAAATCTTTTTAAAAAATGTAATGTGTAGTTCTATTAAAAAAAAAAAAAAAACAGGGCCTGGCAAGATGGGCCCATGGGTAAAGATACAAGGTGCCAAGCAAGACAACAAGCTCCATCCCTGGGCCCCACAAGGTAGAAGAAGGGATCTGATTCCCACAAGTTGTCCTCTGACCTCCACATGTGTATTAGTGGACATGTTCATGCTCTGGCACATGTGTGAGCACATACACAATAAGCAAACAAATGTAATAAAAACTCAGAACAAGCCAGGTGGTTGGCAGCACTCAGGAGGCAGAGGCAGACACATCTCTGTGAGTTCCAGGCCAGCCTGGTCAATATGTGTATCAATACACATTCATTATAGTATAACTACGATAACATAGAACTTAAATTCAAAAGTAGATAATAGTTAATTGAATTATGGTGTCATAATGTATGAGGAAATGTTTGTTTATTAGGCTAAAATCAAGATGCAAGTTTATGCGTAATAGCATGACCACAAGTTAGCTAAAGACCTACGAAGACTCCAAGGGAGGTATGTAAGAAACATGTATGAAGCAGAAGCTGGCTAATGCCCACAGACGACATTTCTAGTGCTGTACCCATCCCCGAAGACTGGGTTACATGGATTCTTGGCATCACGTCTGCACTTTTGTAAACCCTGAATATGACAGCAGACGGGAAGTTATCCAGAGAAGGAATGTCTCCAGAAGGAGCTTTCCTCCTTTAAATGGTTAAAATGGTAATTTTTGTTCCTTCTTTTTTCAAACTGTCTGTAATTAGAAAATATGATTTGTACAGAAAGTCAAACTTACTTAGACTGAACACCTTAAGTTTTAGTTACTTTTGAATTTTTAGCTTTTTGAGACAGGGTCTCATACAGCCCAGCTGACCTGGAACTTACCATGTCCCCAAATGACCTTGAACTACCCCTTATCCTCTGCCCCCGCCTCCCAAGTGCTGGGATTACAGGTGCTAGTCCACTTGCCAAGTTTGGCTAGTTCTAGCAGCAAAAGCCAAGCTTCCTGGCTCATTGCCTTTCTGCATCTCCAATAGGGCATTTCGTCATCTATGTTACAGTAATCGTTCTCTGAATATCTTAAGACTGAAGTCCTCTTTAATGAAACATTTTTTTTTAAATGCGTTAGAACTCTGCACATATTTTAAATTTCACATGCATGGAGAGAATTGTTAAAGGAGTGGCCATGTGCAAGCCGAGATGCTAACAGTAGTTGGTGCCATTCGCATACTCCGCAGTGTGTCTGTTTCCTTTTGTCTACTTTCCTGTAATACTATGTTCTGAAGTGTGTACCTTCACTGTTGAGGGGAAGGGTGTTTAAAAGCGCTTATTAGGTCTATATCATTTCCACAGAGACCTTCCATAGTGGATGTCAAATCAAAATATAACCACAAAATCAAAAGGGTTTTACATTAAACTCAGCGGAGTCGTTTGAGGTGCGGTTTCCACAGCGTTTCATGACAAGCATTTGTGACTCTGGGAAATAGTGACAGTGTTATGCTGCAGGGCGGGGCAGAAGATGGGGCCATACTTTATCTTTCTTCCCCTCAGCAGCACGCATCTAACCTCAGTTTCCACATACACAAAACAAAGATTTCAGATTAATATTGTCCAAAAGCTAAAACCAGCACCAGCAATCTTAACAGACGCTCAGCAAGCAGGCCACGCAAACAGAGTTTCGTATCTGAAAACAAAGGGGAAGGCCTCTTTTTTAAGAGTGAGGAGCCCAGAGGTAGGCAGCGGACTGCCGGTTGGAGGGTAATTACCACATTCCCATCCGCTTTTACCACTGCTTTTGGGCTTGTAAATGGAGGCCCGCTGCTCCACAGAGAAAATGAAGTTCAAAGGGGGAGAACATTCTGTCCTTGACGAGCTCCCGTATGGCTCTCAGGTTTCAAATCTGGGACCCTTCAGAAGCAGGCCAACTGTAGCTGCCACAAAGGCACAGGGTGAAAGACGAAACCTCCACGGTAATTGAGGTTTTAGTCAGCGCTGGAGAGATTTAATTCAGCATTTCTAACCATGCTTTGACGTAAACAAATAATGTAGCAGGATCTGGATCCACTCTCCTGTGATTCTCGCTGACCACTGTGGAACACTGCACAGGTCACTTAAGCTCCCTGGGCCTTATCAACCGAAGGGGGAAAGGTAGGTGGGTGTTTCGCTTGCCCACGGACACAGGCTGGACCACAGAGCTGCCTGCAGTCCTGGAAGCATAGCTCTCCAACTCCAAACTGCTGGTGTAAGCAAGGAGACAAAAGAATAGCTCAGACCTCTTAGAGGGTTTTTGTGATGAAATTGCCAGTGATCAATTTCAATTTTTTATATTAATTTTCTAAAGTAGTTTTTCTTGCCAAGCCAAATTCAATATACTTAGCTAGGGAGTCTAAAACACTATCAGACTATCACTATTCTAATTCTCCTTCTGGCAGAGTAGTTACCTTAAGAAGCATTTAAACTTCAGATAAAACTTCTTGGACTGGAGGCAGTAGGGGAAAGAGTTTTTTTTTTTTTAATTATTATTATTATAATGGAATCTACCTGGCATCGAAATATCAAGCCTTCTCTTCTCCATCCAGAGCTGATGTAGCACAATCTAGCTGGCCACTGAGCAGTGGGCTCTGGCTGTAATGCTAAATGATGGTAGCTTGATGAATCACCAGCACAGGATTAATGGCCAGAGGAGACTCTGTGTCAGCAATTTATAAGAGGTTGGTTGCTCATAATATGTTGAGGGCCACAGCCTTAATAAAGTAGGCTACGCCATTCCTAAGCTTCTAGCATTTTCTTTTACTAACTGGCGACTTTCCTAAGTGCTGGCTTTAGCTCTCTTTAGCTTAGTTCTGTATCTTAGGTCCCAGATCCTACATGGTGTCTTATCAATATGACAAACATCTATACCTTTAATTACAGAATTACATGGGTATAAGAGGGATTTAAAAGTCATTAATTAGTAGAGAGATTTATCTCTGGCATTACATAGCATATTGTCAAAATGCAAACAACCTAAATTTTCAACTACACAATTTTTATGGTACAACCACAAGACAGAAAATTTATACAATAAAAAGTACTGTTGAGTGACTATAACATGAGAAAATGTTGATAAAATATTAGGTTTTAAAGTCAGGATATGACAATACATACAATATAAATTTGACCATTCAAAGGCAAAGATAAATATACTTAAAAAAAAAGCAGGAAAAAAAAAACCTAGAAGGAAATTTTCCACAAATTTAAAGTGTTTCTCTTTATGAGCAAGGAGTAGAATGCTTTTACTGTTCTTTATTGTTATCATACATTTATCCCTTTCAATATCTTTAGATTCTCTAGCATGAGACTACATCATGTTTGTTTTGTTTTTCAAGACAGGGTTTCTCTGTGTAGCCCTGGCTGTCCTAGACTCACTTTGTAGACTAGGCTGTCCTTGAACTCACAGAGATCTATCTTCCTCTGCTTCCCCAGGGCTGGGATTACAGGAGAGCACCACCACTGCTCCTAGAGATTGCATCATTTTTTAAACAAAATAAAAACCTTTTAAAGAAAGTACTTAGATCAAACTACAGACAATGTAGTTGGTGATTTAAAGTGAGGGTTCCCTACAGTGTAGTTGGTGAAAAGCCTCCCAATGATGTGATTTAAAGTGAGGATTCCCTACCCAGACAGAAGCCCGAGACAGCAGCATGAGGATAAGTATGATGATGAAATACCAAAGCAGGAAACTTCCTATTGTCCCACAAGAGTCCTCCTTCCGGCACTCAGCATCCTGACCTGGAATGGGAAAACTGAGAGGTAGAGGAGGAGGATTCACCTCCCAAAATAAAGACAGAAGGTCTCCCATGATAGCTTTTTGCTTAGAGAATAAAACATGCTCAAGAGGATGAAGGTGACTGGGACCGATTTCCCTCCGTGACCTATGACGACTTCCCTGGCAACCAATTATGACATACACGTAAGCTTCTGCTGCAGGAACTGATAAATCCTCTTGGATGTCTGAGGGGCAGATTTACCTATCCAAAGGACATCCGGAACTTTGTACAGTTTCTCAATATACTTTTTTCCTGCTCAGTTGTTGAAACTTACATATACTATATTTTCATCTCTCTAAGTGTTTAAGGTATTAGTTTTCATCAGTCTCTTTTTTAAGTGTGTACCATACCATTGTAAATGAACACAGATTGCATTGTGTATATTTCCCATCTTGTCTTTGGAGATAAGGCCAGAACAGGGTAGTGACAAGAGAGTGAGATGGCTCAGTAGGTAAAGGCCTGTAGTGCCAAGACTTGTGACCTGAATTCTACCCCTAGGACCCCATAGTGGAAGGAGAATAATGACTTCTCGAGCTGTACTCTAACCTCCACACGGCAACCACACAGCACTCTCTCTCTCTCTCTCTCTCTCTCTCTCTCTCAAAGAAGCATCCCATGTTCTGGGATACTTGGTTATGATAACTCTTAATAATAGCAACTTTAGTCTGGCAAGTATTTTTATGCCTGGGAAAAACAGACTAAATAGCTTATAGGTTACATTAGGAGGTGGAAACAGAGACTCCTGTTAAGACCTGCACTGTCAGGTGCTGCTACACATCTTTAATGCTAGCATTCGGCAGTCAGAGGCAGGTGGATCTGAGTTCAAGGCCAGCCTGGTGTACAGAGTGAGTTCCATGACAGCCAGGGCTACACGGAGACACCCTGTGTAGCCTGTCTCAAAAAACAACAAAAGACCTCCATGAAAGTTCTGGTTTCTTTTTAGATAGACTTACATGTGCAGAGTGAGAACATGGTATTCTAGCTCGACTGTATGCACACCAGCTCCCTGAACCAGTTCTCTCTGAACAGTTTTCAAGTTAAGTTCATCTCTGAATATATCTAAATATTGTGTTAAGACAACATAAACATTAAAAAAATAGCTCTTTAAGACCATACAGTAACCTGCCAGTTTTCATATGCAATACTACAATGAAATTTCATTTTCTTTTGTTTAATTTTGATATTTATTTACATTTTTGAGACAGTGTCACTATGTAGCCCTGGCTGGCCTTGGAACTCCAAAGATCCTCATGCCTTTGGGTGCTGGGATTAAAGGCATGAACCCCCATTGCCTGGCTGGGTACATCCATCTCACTGGCCAGTGTTACCACTCCCAGAAAGCTCTTTAGAGCTGAGACTACAGTGGCCATGCCTCTCCTGCCTCCCTCTTTCCGCTTCACCTGTAGGACACAGGCAGCTAGCAACAACCAGGAAGTTAGGAGGTCCTATCCCGCACCCCGCACCCGCGGTACACCGTAGGAACTCGCACTAACTACCAAAAGCAAGCTCACCTCCCCGTGAACCTTTTCTCAAACAACATTCAGGGCAAAGGTGGGCTTTGTTTTTAACCTCAAAAACACTAATACCTTCAATAGAACGTTCCAGTTTTTCTTCCTACTGCTGTGTCCTCATAGGTGTGTATTTGGAAGTTTACCCTGGGTCAGGCCAATTGGGGAAAAAACGTTTCAAAACAGGAAAAATGCTTTGTCATGGCTGAGTGTGTCTAGACACATCAGGCACGCTCGTATCCTACCAATTAGCCATCCCGCTAAACACAGTCTGCCTGCAAGTGTGAGCTGCCGGGGGTCTTAAATAAAGCTACAGTTAATAATATTCAAAATTCAGCTTGTTACAGTCATAACTTTTTACTGACGGCTCAGAACCTGCTCTGAATTTTGCAGCGCAGCTTTCTCCCTGCAGCTAAGTAGAAGCGGCAGAGCCGAGGGCGTTGCCCTGGCAACGCTCACTGCCCTGGTCCCTCTGCCGCAGCCCCCCCCCCTTCTCGCGAGAAGAGCCGGCCCTGGGCTTCCGGTAACTGTGGCCGGCCTCGCCCGCCGGAGGCTGCGGCTTGGTTCCGCGCGTGCGCAGTAGGGTGTGGCGCGGGTCCTTGGCTTCCGGCTGAGCGGCATGGTGCGTTTTGGGGGTGGTCTCTGTGCTTCCTGGACGTGGGGTCCACGCGGCCCCCCGGAGCTCCAACCCTGAACTAGCGCCTGGGGTTCAGCCAGGGGAGGCTGTGGCGGGGAGCCCTGCCACTCGTGCTGCAAGGGGACGAGGTAGCCAGGGAGGGAGTTCCAGCGTGGGCTGGATGGCGGGAAGGTTGCCAGCCTGCCCGGCAGCTGCCGTGTCCGCCACTGCACAGCCGGGCCCCCCGAGACAGAGCACAGCCCTCGTGTCCCAAGACTGAGTGCACGTGTTTCCTCCCCTTCACGACGGGCCCGGCCCACCTCAAAGTAAAGCTTTAGGGCTTCATCACTCAAAGGGCTTCCTGCCTCTGTCAGCCCAAGGTCAAGGTCTGACACAGTAATGACAAAAAATGGTCCCCGGTGTCTCTTCACGTAGACCTAGCAACGCACCCACTCGAGTCCGACCAAACGGGAACTCTTTATAGACGTCTAACAAGCTAGTACACTATGAAACCAAGACATTTTCCTGGAACTGTTAACTTCTCCGAAGCAACCAGCCAGCCCCTACCAAAGAAGAGATCCCCAAGACTCTAATACTGGCTTGTGTGGTTTGAGGGAGGAGGTGTGCGGTCCCGCTGGGAGAATTTAAGGAAGAGGGAAGGTCTGTGGGGTTGCTGCTTTACGACGTACACCCGCGATTGCTTAGTTTCTTTAATTCCGGGCTGTTTCGATTTTTGTTTATTTTGAATAGATGCAAGGAGAAGTAAGCCCCAGTGCCTCCCTTATTGACAGAACTATCAAGATGAGAAAAGAAACAGAAACTAGGAAAGTGGTGTTGGCCTGGGGACTCCTAAATGTATCCATGGCTGGAATGATATATACCGAAATGTAAGTCCGTCGGCCCCACAGTGAAATGTTAAGCCACCGTTGGCTGGTTCTATGGCTTTTTATATTTGTTCTGGTTTTCCGTGTTTGATTGATTGGCTTGTGGTGGAGGTGGGGGTGTTTTTAAAAAACTGAAAAGCCTTTCTAATCTTTTCAGGACTGGGAAGTTAATCAGCACATATTACAATGTGACATACTGGCCCCTCTGGTATATTGGTAAGTAATTAATTGGCACTGTAATTTGCATTCACTACAAATGAAAAATTGCTTATAGGCATAATTCAGCTTAGTATTCATTCTTTCATTCAGAGAAATGATGACTACTACCTATTCTGTTTCTCAAAACCATGACTACAGTAGAGAAGGAATAATGTTCTTTTATGGAAAGAACATTCTAGTAGGAGGCTGAGTCAGGAGGATTACTTCCAGTTTGAGGCCAGCCTGGGTTAAATTGCAGAATCCTGTCTCCAAAAATAAAAAATAAAAAGCCAGTCGTGGCAATAAACATCTGGTTCCAGTACCTGGGAAGTGGGAAGGAGAATCAGAGGCGGAGGAAAGCAGGTGAGACCTTGTCTCTAAAGAAGTAAACAAAGCTAACAAACAATAGAGTTTGGCCTTAGGAGCCCTAGAAAGGAAAATGCAGCATGGTGGGTGATGAGCTCTCTTGCCAGTCTTGAATCACCTTCTCCTCTTGTTCACCTTCATGGTCAGATGAGATTAATTCTTGGGCTGTAGAATCCTACTGTGCACATTGAAATCTATCATGGAGCGCCCAGTGGTGGCTCACAGCTCTGCACTCTGGAGGCAGAGGCAGACAGGCCTCTGAGTTTAAGGCCAGCCTGGTCTACAGAGGGAGTTCCAGGACAGCCAGGGCCACATAGAGAAGCCCTTCCTTGGGAAGGGGTGTGTGTGTGTGTCATGGAGAAATAGGTAACTCAGGTTAAGAGCACACACATACTGCTTTTGCAGAGGACCAGGCTTGGCCCCTAATACCCACACACTGACGCTCAGCCACCTCCAGGTACAAGGATCCATACATGTGCACACAGGGCATGCAGGCAAAGCACTCAGGCACACCCAAGCCTATTGGTGGGTGTGACAGGTGGATAAGGAAGGGATTTAGGAACTTCAGGCACAAATTAGAATCATGGCTCACTAGCAAACTGGGACTCCTAAAACTCACTTGGCTGCTTACTAAAAGTGAAGTTGTTTCTTGTACAGTTGTAAGAACTAGAAATAGTTTAACTAGTTTTTAAATGTTTGATGTTAATTTGCTAAAATTATGAAGGGATTTTTTTCCCCACCTGGTTGCTGGAATTTATTTTATTTAAAATACTAAGTTGGAGCTGGAGAGGTGGCTTACCAGGTCAGGGCTACCAGGCATGGTGACCCGAGTTTAATCCCCAAAACCAGTCATGATGGAAGGAGAGAACCAACTCACACAAGTTGACCTCTGACCTCCACATGTTCCCACAATAAATAAAGAGAATATTTTTAGTAATAATTTGTTTTTTCTAGAACTTGCCCTCGCCTCGCTCTTCAGTCTTAATGCCTTGTTTGATTTTTGGAGATACTTCAAATACACTGTGGCACCAACAAGCCTGGTTGTGAGCCCTGGACAGCAAGCCCTGTTAGGGCTGAAGACAGCTGGTAAGGGGATGGGGGGCACGAAACACACAGCACATAAAGCTGGTTTGTAAGAACTTGTTGAGTGATTATCATTGCTTTTTCTGTAGATGAGTAGAACAGCAAATTCTGGTGGAAACCTATTTTACTGTTTTGAACAGTGTCGAAATGGGAAACAACTGATTAGTTGTAATGTGTAATAATGCTTCATGTAATTTCATAGCCAGATGTTCTTTTCTCCTGGTGGGGGTGGAGGGGGGAATTGGGTACCTTAATTATTTTGTTTTCGTTTTTTTCAAGACAGGGTTTCTCTGTGTATTCCTGGCTATCCTGGGCTCTCTTTGTAGACAAGGCTGGCCTCAGACTCACAAAGATCTGCCTGCCTCTGCCTCTTGAGT